GATGGTAAATGGGTGGACGGGTAGGAAGGGAAGTGGATTTGGTGGTGAGAGGCCTCTGCCTTTGCGTCAGTAAGATAAGAAGCAGAGTTACACTCAAAGAGCCGGGAGAGCGAGGGAGTGGTGGAAGTTTGCCGACGGAGGAACTGCAGCAAACCCAGGCAGGCCAGCCCCCAGGGTGAACTGTTCCTCTCTATCTGCAGTTCCCTCTCCCAGAAGATGCCTAGGTTATCTGAGTGCACAGAAGTCCCCATAGTGTAAAACATGAAGCAAACGCAGTATTATCAGTGATGATGAGCTCCGTTTAACTGTCTCCTAACAAGCCTGTGAGACAGAGGCACTACCGCTATTCCCATTTTTCAGATAAGGAAACTGAGGCTTGGAGAGGGTCGGAATCTTGCTTAAGGTTACACAGCCAGTAAATAATGGAGTTGGAAGAGAAATCTGGATCTCTTTGGCCCCACGGGCAAGTGAGGAAGAGAGTACTCTTAAGAACTACAAAGCCTCTTGGTAGCATCATTTTCTGTGGTAGATCTGGTATCTGGCATTTGCCCTGGTAAACCCAACAGCAGCTCCACCAATTAGTTTCCCCCTCTGAAGACTCTGTACTAATAGATTCTATCAGTTTGAGATGCTTTTGGCTACAAGTAACACAACTGCACAGCAAGGGCTTAAAGGAAGAGAGCTTTTGTTTTTTCCTCACATAACAAATGTCTGAAGGTAAGTAGTTTCAGGCATTGGTTCAGCTGCCCAGCAGAGTTGTCAGGGACCCAGGTTTGCTCTGTCTTTCCATTCCACCATTGTGAATGTGTTGCCTTTGATCTCAAACTTGTCTTATGGTTGCAAGATGGCTGCTGCTGCTCCTGACATCACCTCTGCTTTCAAAGAAGCAAGATGGGGAAAGAGCTACAGGTGAAAGACAACAGGAGTGTGTTTGTCCCTTTTTATCAGGAAAGCTGTAGCTTTCCCAGAAACTACTGAGCAGGCTTCTCTTTGTTTCCGTAGGTTGGAGCTGGGTCATCTGACCACTCTTAGGTGCAAAAGGAACTGGTTAGTACCTGCCTCCCTTGTCTGTGAAGTTGAGGCAGGCCATGGAGAAGGTGTTAGAAATCCTCAGAGGACAGCTCATCTGCTGTTAGATGCTCTCTTGCCAGAAGAGAGATTTTTGATTGGTTTGATTAATGGCCTTCTGGTGTTGGGTGCCTCAGGCAGAGCTTTCACCTAGGCCTCCTAGTGGGTCATTGGCCCACCCGTGACCACTTTGGGGCTAGATATTAATCCGTGGTCCCATCAGCTGTGGCATGGGACCAGTGGGGATAAGTAGCACCAAGTGTGGTAATCTTTGTGTGAGAGACCACTGTGCATGGCTTAGGGGCCACTCCAGTTCATTGTGAGAGGTTTCCACAGGTAGTGAGCAGGAAGAAGAGACCTCAGAGGAGTCCGGGGGATAAGAGAAATTTTTTTTTAGAGCAGAAGCACTACAGATCATAAAAAGATAAACGAATTTCAAATGCAAAAAATTCTGTGCATCAGAAGACCCTAAAAAGAGTGAAAAAAAATCCACTGGGAAGAAAGTATTTGCAAAAGCATTCACTGACCAAGGATTAGTATCCAGAATACGAATCCTAATAATATACCAATTTTGTATGTGTGAGTGTGTGTGTGTATTTGTACATACATACATATATATGTGTATGTATATGTGTGTGTGTGTGTGTGTGTATATATAAAAATGTCAAACCACTTGGTAGATAAGTGGCTGTTCCCAGAGATTGAAAGGTAAATAGTCAGTAAACATGAAATTCTGCACACTTTCAAGGACGTGCAGGTTAAAACACAAGCATCTGATACCTCTTAGGCTGACGAATATTAGAAAGTGTGGCTGGAGGACCTAGAGCAGTAAGAGTGAACAGTGTGGATAGGCCACTTCTGGTAAGATATTCGAGGACATGTCATAATGGGGAACTGTTCAAGCTGTGACCCCGCCTGTCCACCATGAGGCGTAGCCCCTGAGTGCCTGCATGTGCGTCTGGGAGACAGTACGAGTGTGGTTACTGCAGCATGGTTCATAACAGCAAAAACACCCTGAAAGGATCCTGAATATCCATCGGCGTAGAGAAGACTGGTGTTAACAGTCGTGTAGTGGAATGAATACTAGAGAGAGCTGCTCAGAGCCAAATGCGTAAACATCACTTAGAGCAGTGAACACAGAAAAGCTCATTGCAGAAGAACACATTAAGTCTAATAGCATTTGTATAACCCTAAAACCATGCAGAGCAACAATACATTTGTTTAGGGACACATACATAGGTGGTAGAAGGGAGAATGCATGGAGGTGACAGACTCTTGGTCACCGCAGTGGTTCCCCAAGGCCAAGATGTGATTCTTTGAGGCCGTTGTTAGCTGTGGGGATCGGGGGAGCACAGAGTTCAGGGGCTACGGACATGGGCTCTGGGACTGGATTTGCTACACTGTTCCCTGAGGGGAAGGTGCCGTTGTTCATCATGTTCTTGTCTCCTTCGTAGGTCTGAAACACTAAGTACAGAGACTAAGTGTCAAAAACAAGGGACAGAAGAATAAAAGAACTTCCAGGGCACAGAGTTCAGAAACCCGATCAGTGCCTAGTTCCTGTCATACCCGCACCATACGAGGCACATGGTGAAATTTTGATGGCGTAGCCTCCAGATGGTCGGCTTTGTATGTGTTCGTTGGCATCTGCACAGCCCTCTCCACACAGTCAAACTCTTAGATCGCTGCGGCCCCGCTCCCATCTCTTCCCTATTCCACGCACGCAGAGGAGTGTTTTGATTACAAGTGTTTGTCTTTCTGACATTCTAGTGCAGACCCTACTGACTTGAATTAGGTTATGAAACCATAACATACTATGTAGAAATGGTGCTGTAGAGACCCCTGAACTGGTTGCAGCTGGTCCGACTCTTCCTAGCGAGTACAGAGGGACCTCTGGGCCCTTCTTCCCATCGCCTGTTGACTGCAAACCCCCGGCTTCATCTGCGACTCCTGACTGGCCCATCCCTTAGCCCTCTTGTTCACAGGGCCGTTTATTTGATGGCTTTGAGTACCCAGAGGGCAGGGACCCTGTGCTTTCATCCCGGTGGCCCCCAGCTTACAGGGATCACATTTCCAAGGCTCAGCCCCCAGTGGACAGCCCACTCCTGAACTTCACCCTCCACTTGCTCACTCAAGCCCCAGGCTTAGGGCTTGAACACAGTTGGCCCCCTCAGCTTTCTCTTTCATCTTCAGCCCTGGCACTCTCACTCACCACCCCTTCTGCCCCCAGTCTCCGGCAGGAACTCCATAGTCAGAGAGCATGTGCTGGTCACCTAATTGCTATTTAGAAGTATGCTAGCAGGTTGGAATTTGGGGAATGAATTTTTACAAAGTTCGGTAGTTGGGTACTTTTCCAGAAGCGTAGGTAGCTGGGCTAGGCGGGAGATTTCACCCCTAATTCCTCTTTGCATGAGAAGTGTTTTCTTCCAACTGAGCCATCCAGGCACCTCTTAGAAGTGTTTTCTTCCAGGGGCCCCTGGGTGGCTCAGTCAACCAGTTAAGTCTGTCTTTGTCTCAGGTTGTGATCCCAGGGTCAATCTTTTAAAAAAAAAAAAAAAAAAAGGACAAAGTGTTTTCTTCCAGAATCTGGGGCTATGACAGGCTGTCTTTGGTGGAACATCCTAAAAGGTAATGCAAGGATTTTCACTGGGAGGGCCTGGGAGAGAAGGGGGACGTGGTGCTTTTCACATCCTACTTTCACAGAAGGCTGTAGAAGGAGGAGCTCCCTGTGGCCAGGCTGTTTGCAAGCAGAGAACGCTGATAAACGCAGTGTTCATTTTGTTCCAGGCTGTTTTGTCATCTTGGAGAAACCAAAGTAGTTCAACCAGTCATATTTATTTTACTAAATAATTGACTAAGAGTTGTCTCCTGTTAGGACATTTTTTTCCACTGGGAAAACCGTATTTGTTATATCATTTTGCGCTGAGAACAGAACCTGGGTGCACAGCACCACACTCTTATGGACATAATATAAATAGCATGTGGTGGCGATGTTGCCAGCAAATCATTCCAAATGCCATGTTTCCTCACGGTATCCTTGTGATGTACCACCTCTCCTCTCAATAGACTCCACCTACTGTAATAGGATTCCTCTTTGCCACTTGCCACTGGCCACCGTCTCTCTTCTCCTTAAGCTGGATATCATTGACCAAAATGAATGTTATTTTCCTTCATTGACATCAAGGACAGCAAATAGGTTTTAATTCTTGTGCCATCTCTAATCCATTAAAAATGGCTGCCTGGAGTTCCAAGTTGGTGGGATACAGATGGAAGCTCAGCGGTGAGGAATGCTGATTGATGAACAGTGTCTGTGATGGACACATAGTTAAGTCCTGGGGCAACCCTGTCTAAAATACCCCTAAAAAGGGGGCACCTGGGTGGCTCAGTCGTTAAGCGTCTGCCTTTAGCTCAGGAAGGTCGTGATCCTAGGGTCCTGGGATCGAGCCCCACATTGGGCTCCTTGTTCAGCAGGAAGCCTGCTTCTCCCTCTCCCATTCCCCCTGCTTGTGTTCCCTCTCACTGTGTCTCTCTCTGTCAAATAAATAGAATCTTTTTAAAAAAATTAATTAATTAATTTAATATTCCTTAAAAAGTTAAAAATTCGGAAATCTATCAATACATCCACTTAAAAATGGTAGTTGTCTATAGATGGTTAGATTCTATGGAACTTTAATGTTCTATGCTTTCTGCATGTTTGACAGTGAATACGTATTACTCTAATACCCAGGAGAAGACATTCTTGGTGTTATTTTGAAAGGAAACCTCTTACCCGAACGAAACCAGGAGTTCGAATATGGCGTGCCAGTGCTGGACTCCGCCTCTGGGCTCTGTAGTTGCAGCATATGCTTCGCAGGGGGACTAGGCATGCTCACTGCTTCTTGCTGAGAGGGAGTCCATGGGACTGACGGATGGTCTCTCATCTTCTAATCTGGCAGGTCGAGGTGGTGCATCTATCTATGGCAAGCAGTTTGAGGATGAACTTCACCCAGACTTGAAATTCACGGGTAAGTATGTAATCTGGCTGTGCTGGGTGGGGGGAAGGGGGAGTGGATTTGAAAAGCTCACTCTTGGCTGTGATTCTGGGGTCATGCCTGACACCGTGGCAGGGTGCCACAGAGCTGCCCAGCTGTGGCGCCACAAAGAGCCCTGGTGGGTTCGAGAGAGTGACACCTCTCTCTCCTGCGTAATTCACAGTGCTGGTCCGAATGTTCTAGACTCTGTCGAATGTTGTTGCTCTTACAAACTATAGGATAAGCGAAAGCTTCCTCAAAGAAGCCGGAGACCTTGCTGGGTTTTTGCAGGGCATCGGGGACATGGTCCAGCGGTTAGTGGGGATCATCATGGATAGAGAAGCTGGGGAGTAGGCCAAGACTAGGAAGGTGCAGTTGTTGGGGTAGGGTGGTGACAGGCCGTTGGGTAAAGGCAGGGCCTGCCCTCGGGGGAAGAGTGTTCGGGTCCCGTGGTTAATGGTGGAGGCCAGAATAAAGTCTGGGATGGTGGGACATGCGCCCGGCTAGAGCTCTGAGGGTTATTCTTACTTTCTTTCTTTACCCACCAGGGGCTGGAATTCTCGCCATGGCCAATGCAGGGCCAGACACCAACGGCAGCCAGTTTTTCGTGACGCTTGCCCCTACCCAGTGGCTTGATGGCAAGCACACCATTTTTGGCCGCGTCTGCCAAGGTATAGGAATGGTGAATCGAGTAGGAATGGTGGAAACAAACTCCCAGGACCGCCCTGTGGATGATGTGAAGATTGTTAAGGCATACCCTTCTGGGTAGGCTTGCTGCTCTCGAGGGCACGCCTGGATCTTCCGGGATGGCCCCAGTGAACCAGCTTCTGGATGACCTAGAGTGACATGTACTTAAACTTCATTTTGGCCTTGCGAATCACAGAGCTAAGGAGACCTGGGGTCTTGGGTGAGTTAGAGCTGGAAGTATATTTTAAGAGGATGCTTTTCTCTTTCCCCAGTGCCTGGGTTTGACAGAGGGTTTGCAGAAATGCTCATAAGTGATCACTTACAGTGAACCTCTCATTGCAAATGAGCATATACTGCTCCTCCTCGCGCGTGTCTTTGCTGATGCACTTGGAACAAGAGGAAGCCGACTCTGTCATTCCATAGTGCCGAACCAAACTTCTTCCTGCAGGGATTTCTATTCTGGCCTACACCGCAGGCTTTGGTGGCTGACAGCCACAAAATTCAAAACCAAGTAGTGTCTATCAGCCTTCTTAACTCTGTGCGCACCCTATTTCAGTCTCCTACATTTGTTCTTCCGGGAATGTATGCATCTCTATATATATTTTCCCTCTCAAAACCAGAACGTCAACACTGCTGTTTCTGACACTGAGACATCCCACGCAAAGCCACATTGAATTTTTGCCAAATGAAAAATGCATCCAACAATCAAGTTTCTAAGAAGGTGTCAAGTGGGGAATGATAATGTGTAATAATCAAGAAAGGAATTTATTAAAAGGCAGCAGAAACATTGACCATTTTTTCCCCAGGAAGGAGTAGAAATCTGTAGCGAGCTTAAGGACAGACTATGAATTCTCCTTAAAAAGCAGTATTGTCATAAAGCGGAGGCCCCACTGAAGATTTTTTAACCTAAGACTAGAGAAACTAGATAAGAGATTTTTTTTATGTTAACTTTTTTAAGTCTTTCTGATTTTTTTTTTTTTTTTTTTTTTTTTACGAGTGGGGAGAGTGGTAAGAGAAAGGAAGTGAATGTCTATGGAATACATAGAAACTTCCCAAATAAAATGCCATTGATGGTTGACATTGCTGTTGTGGTCTGATTTTAAATACTGTATGAAGCTTTAACAGTCATCTTAACCTGTAAACCATCTGAAGTAGTGTTGTGGGGCTCAGCTTCAAGACTCCAATTTTGGGCTTGTGCATCTCCAGTGGACTTCTATTCAAGAGTAGGTCTGACTTTAAAAAAACAGTGCTAGGGGCATCTGGGTGGCCCAATCGGTTAGGCTCCTGCCTTCAGCTCAGGTCATGATCTCAGGGTCCTGGGATCAAGCCCCATGTTGGGTTCCTCGTTCAGCAGGGAGCCTGCTTTTCCCTCTGCCCCTCCCCCTGCTCGTGTATGCTCTTGCTCTTCTCTCTCTCTTTCCCTCACAGATACATAATTTTTTTTTAATTTAAAAAATAAAAAATAAAAAGGCAATACCAAAGACAGAATCTAAGTGATAGCGGTTGGCGGTTCTGAGAGAGGGAGAAGCAGCCATACAGGAGCCAGCCGGATATGCTAAGAGACCTAAAGCATCTCTTGAACTTGCAGGAAATCTTACCTTCCTGTGGTTGCAGAACCAGAGGCAGTATGTACTGTGCCTTCCTTAATTGATACCTCCTTGACTGAAGAGAGGATTGTAGCTTTAATGTTCTTATTTATCAGTCCATAAATCTGGGAAATGATGATTGACTGTATGGAATGGCCAAAAAGTTCTATTCTCCAAGCTTTTCCCAGGTTCAGCCTCTCTTTCCATCCTTCTCTTACTTTTCTCTCAACAACAAAAAACAAACCCAACAACAAACTATGTAAATGACTTTTATAACTTTTCAGTGGTGGTGTTGGTCACAGTACTGTTCTAGACTCTGGGGAAATAGAAACTTCTTTTTGCCTGGACTGGGTAGACAAAACTGGATCCACCTCTAGAAAAGAATAAGATACCCATCCACTTATCTCCCAGAGTCATAATCCTAAAAATGCCCATTTTCACCCAGGTCTTGGGGGTGGTGGAAATGTACTGTTATTACTTGGAGAAGGAAAAGAAGGACCTGAGTACATTACTCTTGGTGTACTTGACCTCACGCAGGAATTGCTGGGGGAGCCTGCAAGGAAGCAGATTGGGATTCAGCATCTGGCCAAAGATTCTGAGTTTCTCTCCAGCGCCCAAGAGATGGTGGCTCCTGATCCAGACACCACACTTTGAGTAGTGAGATCCCAGAGGTGATGTTTACCCAACAAGACATTGGGGGTAGGGAAGATTTTCCTAAGAGCATGGAGCTGTCAGCACCATAACCTGACCTTCAGCCTTGTCAACCAGTGGTGGCCTTGGAAGAGTGAAGAAATTCAAAGCACAGGATGAGCTTTAACTGCTTCTGACTTTGGCGGCTGATATTAAGCTTTTAGAAAATGCCCTTCTGCCTTTTAATTTTTTTTTTCTTAAGATCTTATTTATTTATTTTAGAGTGAGAGAGAGACAGAGAGCATGATGACCAGGGGAGGGGCAGAGGGAGAAGGAGCAGCAGACTGCCCACGGATCAGGGAGCCTGACAAGGAAGGGGCTCAATCCCTGGACTCTGGGATCATGACCTGAGCTGAAGCCAGACATTTAACCAACTGAGCCACCCAGGTGCCCCCGCCCTTCTGCCATTTATTCCCACCTTTGTACACGGGACATGAGACCGTGCTGCATGGCACTGAGATCCTGTGTGGACACCAGGGTGGGTACGGTGGTGTAGGTCACAGACATCACAGAAAGTGCAGGGGAGAGGTCATCAGCAATTATGACATTGAAGGATAAGGGCTCTGGAACCAGACTGGGGTTCAGATCCCACTTGACAGCAGTGTGAAGGACAAATTTCCTAAGTTCTCTGTACCTTAGTTTCCTCAACTATAAAATGAGGATTATGGTCTTGACCTCACAGGGTTATTGTAAAGATTTAAATGAGCTAGAACAGGTCTCTAGAACAAGTACCAGCATTTAGAAAACAGCCCGTGGTACTACCGTGGCCCCTGAAGCCACCATACACCTCTCCTGCCTCTTTATCCCAACGTTTTCAGCAAACTGACCTTGTATAGCTTCTCCCTCCCACCAGGCTAGCCTCTGAGAGCAAAGCCCTTGTCTTGTTCCCCACCGGAAGCCCCTTCAGCACCTTATGCAATTCTTTAAGTTATTGCTGAATGAATCATTTAAAACTGTTCTCTATCAGGAAAAGATTAAGATCCATTTGCTGAAATAGCCTTACCCCATCTCTAAAGCCAGGCTTTAGCTGGTATGGCAGCAAAGCCTTTCCACTAAGCCCTCTGGAAGTCCTCAGCTTGATTTATTTTTGGATTTGTGTCTCCAGAATTTGTCAAAATAGCTTTCCCCACATAAGGGAAATGATTCCTACCCCCAGATCCTCGAGCCAATCTGAGCCATCCCTGTGGCCCCTTCTGGCACCACATTCTTGCAACGTGTGGAGGAGGAAACATTGAAAAGCACATCTGTTTGAGTGGCAGAGTCTACTTCTTTGGCTTCGTGGCCTCAGAGCCTCATTTCCTGTAGAGTAGGTTACTACTCTAGGTCAATACCAGAATAGGGATTTTCCAGGCACATTCTTTTACCAATAAGAGAGAAACAAAATGCAGGAGAAGAAAACTTGTTATGGTCTCACTCTAAGGTTGGCTTGGTCTGGTTTTAGAAATTGGATCCTCTCTTGTTCTTCCAAATGGGTAAGATTCATGATCCTGACTACATCCCAAACCACAGATGCACAGTTTGAGGCAAAGTTTGTGGACAGACGCATGTGAGTTTTTGTGTAACCTCTGGTGGAGCACTTTACCTCTGGAACTTGGTTTCCTTATTTGTCAAGTGAAGATTAGAACCAGGCCCCGCTGGCCCTCAATTTCCAAATCTAGGTCATTCTGAGAAGAGTCCTTCAGTTGCCAAATTTCCGCTTATCGTGCTGTTCTTGAAGTCTGCCACTAGGGGCCACTGTGAATACAGTTTAGCCTTGCAGCTGCTTCAGGAGGAGAGGCCTACCATTGGGTCTCAGGACGTTATTAACCGGGGCCTGCCAATCCTGGATGGGGAAAACCAGCAACTAACTATTCAGACTGCAAGGGGCCCGAACTGAGATGTCAGCCTGGCAGTAAGTGTGTCCTTTGGTACATGCCGACCAACCCTCGTTCCTGTCTAGATGGCAGGATAGGCCGAGGCCTTGCGACTGCGGAGCCTGGTTCTGTAGCATGCCTCAGTATAAAGAGGCACTTTCCGTTTAGCTGCTTAATATTCTGCTTTACAACTGTATTCATTCCTTCAGGAATTAATCTTAGAGCCCCGATTTGACACCCAGCAATAGAAAATATTTTTACAGAATCAGAAAGTCAACAGAAGGAAGCTTACCATGAAAAGTTCTTGTTGCCCTTGTTCCGTGCTCCATGGAAGCTTCTTGTTTGTATTTTTCTCTTAATCCCCCACCTCAGTCTCTAAGGTCAGCCTTCGTATGCCCATTTACAGATGAGTAACCCAGAGACCGAAAGTAAGTAGCACAAAGCCTTGTACGGACTGAATGAATGAATACAATATCTGGTCCGGAGTGAATGAATGAATATAATATCTGGTCCGGGGTTGCATGGCTAGTAAAAGGCCAGGGCTAGGACTTGAGCTTGGGAACTCCTGATCCCAAGTGCAGCCCTCTTATTTCCACTTTTAGCATATGGGGGAGGACAATGACATATACAAAAAGAATGATCTGGTAGTGGGGCAGGGCTTAGAACCTCAATCTCTTGCCTTGCAGGTGGCCTGTCCAATCTGACCGTTGCATCCTAGGGTGTCCCCAGGCGGAGGTGGCTGGGGGAAGCTCTAGGCTTAGCATCTCAGAGCTCCCTCCCAGCAGCCTGAACCAGGCTTATGGAGGCACAGCAGGAGGGAAGCAGGGAGAGAATGACCCTAACCAGTGTGTTTATTGGATCATAACTGTATTAGCCTCACAACTCAGCAAATCTCCCAGAAATCACTTTCCTCTCCATGAGGATCCAGCCGCAGCTCCATTAAAAGCTGCTGGCCCACGTGTACCTGTGAGGAAGCTCTTGTAGAGCAGAAGCAGCGGGGGAGGAGGGAGAAGCAATATTTCTACTTCCTCATCACACTGACAGGGAAAATGGCTATTTCACATTCACTGTAGAGGAAAAACCCCCGAAGGAAAGGGAATCTGAGGTTCACGATTGTCTTGTCGGCAACATTCGACTCAGAGAAAATGTTCTCTTTGCGCCTCCCTTTTTGAAAGCACTTGTGATGCTGTTTAAGATAAAACAAGAGTCGGGAAGGAACTTGTGTTTGGGGAACATACCAGGTGCCAGATGCTTTCCACATATTATTCCATTGAAGCTCTCCAAAGGCCTTTGAAAAAGGCATCATAATGCCCCATTCACAGAAGCATCCATTCCATGGGTGAAGGCCTCACTCAGTGGGCTGGGCCTCTGCAGGGCTGAGCTTCAAGCTGGGGGTCTGCTCTCTCCCTCCGCCCTACCCTAACCTCCCGTAGGTTCGGTTTCTACATTTGCTCCCTCCTCCTTCCCCTCAAAAAAACATGGAAACTAGTTTTCAAACCAGGTCACTGCACACCCATGGTAGCTTCCTTCACCCAGCCTCTATCTGTAGACTGAGGACTAGCCCCCTACTCTGGTCTCAAAACTTCAATGATTTGATGATGGTATTTTTCTTCCCTGGTCGCTCTCAGCACATCCTCATCTAATTATTGGAGGGAATGGTAGTATGGGTATTATTTCCGCGCAGAAAAGTAATGGGGGTGGGTCAAGGTCACAGCGTGAATGGAGAAGCGGGCAGTCTGCCTCCAGCCCCTCAGACATGCATGCACGCAGCCTCCGAGGCCGAGGCCATCAGCAGCAGCTCTGGGAGCCTGACACCTGAGCCTCACCCTGGCTCCTGATAGAATTATCAGAGAACTGGGGAACACATACTTCCCGTAATCAGGGCAACTTTTCTTAGCCAGGGCTGGAGGGAAGCAAGATGTGAAGTGTGTCTGATGAGCTCCTCTTCC